CACTCCCGACATGTGCTACAGCCAGACATGTAAATGTGCATTCAAATGTTCAGTTTGATTCAACACCACGTGTGCGTGGTATGAAAGTATTGTTTTTAAATACGAAAATTTTAAAACGATAATCAAATAAAAAATATTCATGTTTACTATGCTTTATTTCCCCCAGTAAATCCATACAATTTTTCTTAATATTACAACGCGTTTTTTCTCTCAGTGTAGTCATTTTTATTGAAAATTTGTGCAATCAAATCGAAAACCGGGACACTTAAACGAAACTCAGGACATTTTAAGGTTGGACCGGGACACCGGGACAAATAGTCTAAAACCGGGACATGTCCGAGAAAACCGGGACGTCTGGCAGCCCTATGCTGGAGTCAATAGCTACCCTGCAGTACGGGGGAGTGACTGTACGGTAGCTACCTGATAAACACCGTCAATTACCGACCGACTACTTGCAGTGTATTTCATCGATTACTTTTACAAGGCAATGTCCTAGGCGGTAGTCACCATCGGCTCTCTCTGCACTACCGGGAGTTACTAAAGTAGTCACTTGCGTGATTTATGGGCGCCCTCTGTCGTAGTTTTTCGGTATTCTACTTACGACTGGTTCGACTCTGCACTACCACGGGTTAATAGAGTAGCTACTTACCTAGGAGTCGGTGCAGTAGCGGTTCAAAAGTAGCGATTGAATCCAGCAGTACTGGAGCGTACTTTTGAACCGATACTGCAGACCCATCAGCAGTCTAGTATACCAGGCGTTCTCAAACTTTTTTCACCGCGGCACCCCTTTTTTGCTAAAAAAAATTCCCGTCACACCTACTATTAAAATGGTTTGAAAACACAATGCACATTTTATGCTCATTAAGCTTTAATGTGAGGAATAAAATTGCTTCGATGATTTAATTATTTCCTTTCAGTTTATTGGAAGCTCTGTCAATTTTACCTTTAAATCATTTGACGCTTGCTTCTGTATAGCTCTACCCAGAATTACTGCGGACGACGGTAAAGCAGTCAGCGGTAAGTGAACAGGTGTACAGTTGCCGCAGTGAAATCCGTCAGAGTAAACACAATTGCGGCGTACTACGGCTTCCGTCAGTTGTCATTTTGATTTGAAAATAGGGTTCCAGCTACAGTTCATGCTAGAAAAATCAGTGCTTTTCAGTAGACTTTTATTCAAAGCAAAATTATGAATGTAAGTAACAAAAAATACTTTAAAACGCCAGAGTACTTATTTTTAACAATATTTTGGTATATGAATAAATTGTAGTTCGTTAAAAATAAAAATGTTATTCATTTTAACATGAGTGTACACATTAACATGTAGTATAAAACAATCTTATAATATCAGCGTACACAAGAGCCAATAGATTATTTAATATTTATGACATTTTTGAATAGCAATGAGATAATTTCCACTCTCAGTGTTTAAATAGTCGAAGAATTCTTTACACTTCATTTTAAAATTAGTCTTAATTTGGAGTTCACTTTCAAAAATTGTAATTATAAGTTGGTTTCTCTCTTTCCGCCAGGAAGCAAACTTTATACTTAAGATCATCTCAGTTGCTCCGTTTGAGTGTGGTATTGAAAAAAACAAAATTACATACAAAATCCAAACTGTGGAAACGCACCAGATTGCTCTAGCGTAGAGATGGGCCACCTCGTGACTTTTGAGGAACACCGTTATTTGCGACTGTGACTTTGCAGTCACGGGGATTATCGTCCGTTGCAAAACAGAAATCTTTTACCGAGTGAACTAAGGGAATTATCCATTTATTTGGCATCACTGACTATTTTCGTCGTTTTTTTTGGTCATTCACACTCGTTCTTAATGGTGTGAAACTCTAATATCAAACAACATTAATCAGATTTTAGTCTTAAATAACATGTCATTATAAAGAAATTTCTTTATGGTTAACATCAGTGGTCGCAGTTCCTTGATATGTAATTGCGACCGCTACTTTATCACAGTCACAGTTCGTAGCAGAGACTGTGACTGTTACTGCTATTGTGGAAGGGGAGATTCTACTACAAAAACATCATTGCGACTTTTTGAAAGTTGTCACGGCAGTTACCCGGGACTTTTGAGTAACCGTGACAAAGTCACAGGTGCGCAAATATCTGCCACCTATAGTCTAGCGGTGAACGAGGACAAGACAAGTACCCCCTGGCCACACGTAAAAAGTCTTCTCGTATTGGGACACACGTCACTGTTGGCAGTCATAGCTTTGAAGTAGTGAAGGACTTTGTTTCCCTAGGATGCAGCATATTGTCAGTCTGGAGATTAAGCGAAGAATAACTCTTGCCAACAGGTGATACTTTGGGCTCGATAGGCAATTGAAAAGCGGGGCCCTCTCGACGAACGAACAAAAAGCTATACAAATCTCATCATGCCCGTCTTTTTATATAGCGCAGAAACATGGACGGTGCTTTTGAGAGAACTATTCTATGCATGATCTCTCGCCCTGTTCGCGTGGGCGTCGCGTACCAAAGAAGATGGAATGACGAACTCTACAAGCTGGATGACGATTCTCCGGTGAAGAGATCCTTCGACTTCGCACCCATGGGTGGACAGCGAAAATAAGGGCGCTCACAAACACAATGAAGGGACCAAGTGCAGAACAACCTGTCCCCACTCGGAACGAAAAACTAGCGTAAATCCGCAAAGGAGATAGGCAACTGCGAAACTTTTTGGTCTCGGCCCAAACCGTCAAACGGTTGTAGTGCCAAATAAGAAGAAGAAGGAAACACACCACTAACTATTAAAGATTTAATTCTTCTCCTTATGGAAAGGTGTTACTTCACAGGTGGCTCCATACTAATTTGGGTTAAATGGGATCATTGGGTCATTGGAAATTAACGATAATCTTAAATTTTTATATCAGAATTGAAGTCGGTTTTTTTGCAACATTATCTGAAACATGTCACCTACAATTAAATTATTTGCTCCTAAATTTTTACAGTACAATTAAGGCAAGTTCCAACGTTAAGCGTAGTATTCAACTCTGTGAGTATTCTGTTCCTTTTTCACGTGAAAAAGCTGTCAAATTGCATATAAAATTTCTTTCTGTGAAGTAAGTGTGAAATTCCACAACATTTCCTCAGCAAAGTAGTATTCTGTTCACGCTGTGAAAAAGCTTGCAACATGTTGGCAACATGAAGCTAGCAACACAATTTTCATGGCAATTTAAAATACACATGTACATTTTAAATTTTGTGAAAGCTGACAGTTTATATAATTCAGTAGCGGCGAGCACAAAGGGTGGCTAAGGGGTTAAACCTTACCCTAACCGTTCGTAAAACTTTATTTCACGTACAAGGAAATTGCGAATAATTACTTATTATCATAGGACTGGTTTGTACATAACGGTATACGCAACAAATATGATTGCAAATGAAAAAAGAAGATTTAAAAAATTACAAAACTAACAATTAGCGACCGCTATGGTTAGCAGTGCGCGCTACCATTCCGCAGGGCCTTGAGCAGGGCCCAGTTTCCGAACAACATCAAAAAATAAAATAAACAACAAAGTTTTTTCCAATAGCGGTCGCCCCCCGGCAGGCAGTAGCAAAACCTCCGAGTGTATTTCTTCCATGAAAAACAGCTTCTCAAAAAGATTCAATCGCCGTTCGGAGTCGGCGTAAAACTGTAGGTCCCTCCTCGGCCATGCACTAACATATTATATGCAGATCTAAAAGGTATGTTTGGCGGATGTGCCTAGCTTATGTTAAATTTCCAGCTTCTGTTTTGGTACTAAATCCCCTTTTTTGCTAGAAAGCTAACGAAAATTTTGAACTAAGTAAAACTGCACGAAAAAAGTATGACTTCTAAGAAAAATGTAAAAGACCATGGTATTGAATTATTCATGGACGAAGGTTATTCAGTAAAAACCATACTCTATTATATTAGCTAGTCTTTGCTCTGTGTGGAGCTGCATTGCTGTTGCAAATAACTTTCTTACTAAAGTAAATGAAATGCGCGAGCACCCTGAAGAATTGTTTAGTTGCATTTTTAACAGTAATATCAAACAGCGTAATTGACCAAAAAAATATATTTGACTTCATTCTTTCAACTTTACACAATATGGAAAACCTAAGAAATACACAAACCAGTTTGATTGGAAATTAATTTTTTTGATTTTGTTTATACTTTACTTCTTGATGTGTCAAAATTTCATGTGAAAACAATATGTGTTGCTGGAAAAATTTCACGGCTTTGAACAGAATACTAACCTTTATGTAAAAACCTTAAAAAAATCCCAAAGTATTTTGTTTGCGTAAAATTACATTATTACACAAACAAAATACCTAAGGAGAAATTACCGAGTACCGAGTACAAGCACGATGGGAATACCCCCATTACAAATTTGTATGCTCAGTACAAATCAGTACAAATTTTGAAAATTAGGAAATTTTCGTACTGATTGTAGAATAAAATCAGTACGAGAGTTGAAAATTAAGTATTGTACTGATAAAATCAGTACGTCTGGCAACCGTATTTGAATATGATCATTAAAATTAAATATTTTTTCGGTTCGTGGGTGTATGTAGATTTGCTTTAACTAAAAATGGATGAAAACATAGGAAAACTTGTAAAAAATATAAAAATTATTACAATCAACATTCAATCAACCGTCCCCGCTGGGCGGTAAAAATAGAAATAAATTTAAATCAACCGAACAACGTCGGCGGTTTAAACGCTGCCGCCGCAATTATGCCTTTGTGTAAGTTTAATTTTGACAGCGGTTAACCATCGGTCGCTTTACCGTCATCCGCTGCAATTCAGGGTAGAGCTTATTTGTTTTTTATGTAAGCATTTGTTGAAAATGCAGACTCACATATCGTCGTTTAAAGTGCAAAACCGCGTATCAACAAAATGCAAAACCGCGTATCAGCAAAAATGCAAAACCGCGCAATTTAACTTGTAGAAGTTATTTTCTAGAGCGTAAAACACTCATATTTCAAAATGGTTCTCTTTTTATAAAGCAATCGCATTTCTGGCTAGTATATTTCAGGACGAATGGATAAGGATTGAGCAAAGAGCTTGTGGGAGCAAATACAATTTTTGGCAGCCAATATCAGTTACGCGGGTTTGCAGAATTACGATACGCGGTTTTGTTCTTTAAACGACGATATGTATGTAGATATTCTTGCAACCGCCGAAAGTTGGAGATGTTTGCACTTTCTACACTTGCTTAAAATTTTTTTTTTCGCAAGCCTCTTATTTTTTCCAACTGAGCTGCTCCCTTGCCTTGAAGAGGTGTGAAGGTTTCATTTAGTTTTTCGAATATTTCAGAAAGGTATGCCAATCAGCCAACCGACATCAGTTAAATTTTGAACAAAATCTAAATGTGACCACCAGTGCATATTTTTCTCAAACAACCTGGCTAAAATCTTTCGCCTTGAAAGCCACCGCAAAAGGTGAAAGTGATCCGTACCCATACTATCTTCAGCGGGAAGTTTTAAAAGGCTTGCTTGGAGCGGGCGACCCTTAGCATAATTATTTATCTTCACAGCGTCATCCAATATGGTTTATAAACCTTGTGGTAGCATCTTTGGAGTCGCCAGGGAATGCTGATGGATCATACAGTGGCTGTTTGAGGCGTTTTCTGCCACTTGCTGCATCCTAGAAACCTCTCCTTTCGATTTTCCAACCATTGCAGCTGCTCCTTCACTGCAAATACACGCACTTGCCCCATTTCAAACCATTTTTCTGTAAAAATTTGTCGATAGCTTTAAAAATGTCGTCGCTAGTGGTGTAAGTACTTCGCTCATCAAAAGTTCTTCTTCGATCGGCCTCTGAAATAAAGTTGATTCGCTCTTTTACATTGATTGTGAAGTTCCAAAAAATAAATAACATGTACACGTGCGCGAACCTGCTGCACTGGTTACGAGAACAGCCCAGCCAGCAAAAAATACGAAAATTATTCGGACAACGCAGTGTTGCCGAAATTCAAAAGTGCGGCCAAAATTCTAAGATTTAAAGAAATGATTCGAAATTTCGTACTAGGGGGTTTTCGAGGTCACTAATGATGAATCCGATGTCATAATTGCAAAATTCGAAATGGCGGACCCAGTAAGACGTCTGGTAAAACTCGGGATTTTTAATTAGAACCCGTAGAAATATTTTGAGTATGCAGTATTATAGCCCAGTCAATTTTAGTGTCACAAACTGCAAGTTTGAAGTACCTAGAACTTACCGTTGATTTTTGAGAATTTTTTTCGTTGACAGTGCCAGTTATTTTCTTCTATACGAAGTAGTTATGTTTGATGATATAAAGAAAATGAGCAACACCATGAAGAAAAAAAAAACTTTCCAAAAATCAACCGTAAGTCCCAGCTTCTTTAAAGTTGCACTTTATTATACTTAAATTAAATGGGCCACTAAACTGCATACTCAAAATCTTTCCGAGAAATCTAATTAAAAAGCCCGACATTTTCGCACGCTTATACATATTAGATTCACTCCCATGCAAAAATGTCGGGCTTTTTAATTAGATTTCTCGGAAATATTTTGAGTATGCAGTTTATATATATATATAAGGAGCAGAAATGAGCATCTGAGTTTTGTTTTATACTATAGCTAATAGTTTTCTACGTAAAGTCCAATAGGTTCAAAGGCAGCATCTAACAGCGTGTTGTTACTGTTGCATTTATCCAATCAAATTTTGTTTTAAAATAAATGAAACAAATACATATTTGTTTCCTGAAAATTCCTGTTACAGTATTTCTTTTTCCAAATTTTGTAATGTATTTTTGTCTGTTTATCCGTTCCATTTCCGGACAACTTGACGATTCGTTTCCCACTAAAGTGTGCGGCGAAAATTAGGTCTAGAAGAGTACCGAAAATGGTTCTGAAAAGGATACGTTTTCGGCTGTTTTTCTGAAATTTTTATGACTCAATTTTTCGTTGGCAAAACTTACAGGAGAGCTACGCTTAAGAGCAAAATACACCACATAAGCGTCTTGACAAACCAAGCGAAATATCCCTTTGCCTCAAGCCATTTATGTTGTGTATGGGGTTTGACAAGCAGCTTGAGGGAAATTTGAACAAAAATCTAATTTTTTTGATTTTCTGGTCGCCATGTTGAAGTTTGATCAAACCGCTTGCGTTGTGGATGGCAAAAACAAAAATAAAACTAGAATTTTGTACATTGTGAACCGGAAGGAAACAAAAATTCCAAAACTTGTCATGTTTACATGGTGTATGTCGAAATGGAGAAAGTAGATTTGGAGTATGTTTCGGAAGCCGCTTGTGTGGTGAATTTCGCTCTTTAAGCAAGCGACGCACTCTCCTACACAAACGCAAACTTGTTTCACATTCTTTGCTGCAACCACAAAACAGCTTGTCGAACAATATACACAGGATAGTAAAACTGTTGCCATATACTAAAAATTAATTAAACTGCTTAATTACAAAATTTTGATGAACGTATACAAAATTTGCCGGCACCACTAGTATACTCTAGCCGCTAGCGGCACCCCTGGCATACGCTCGCGGCACCCCAAGGTTCCGCGGCACCCCCATTGGGAAGGCCCGGTCTAGACCATGCCTCGCTTGAGCAAATGCATCTGGGACGCACAATGTTTTCTTCTTCTTATTATTTGGCGCTATAGCCGCCTACGCGATTTTGACCGAGTCCAAAACAGTACGCAAGTCGTTTCTCTTCTGTTTAAACTGACGCCTAATTGGATGTGTCAAATGAAGCCAAGTCCTTCTCCACTTGGTCCTTCCCATCGCAGTGGGGCCTTCCTCTTCCACCATCGCGACCCGCGTTGAATACTTTTATAGCTGGAGCATTTCTGTCCATTCTTACGAGATGACCAAGTCAGCGTAGCCGTTGTATTTTGATTCGCTGAACTATATCCAGGTCATTGCAAAGCTCATACAGCTCACGTTCCATCGTCTGCGGTACTTGCGGTCGCCAATGCGTAAAGGCCAATAAATCTTTCGCATAATCTTTCTCTCGAAAACTCCAAGAGCCGCCTCATCAGATGTTTTCATTGTCCATGCGTCCGCGCCATAAACCAGCACAGGCCTGATGAGTGACTTATAGAGTACGATTTTGTACGGCTATAGGACTTTACTTCTCAACTGCCTACTCTGTCCGAAGTAGCACTTCTTGGCAAGAGTGATTCTGCATTGAATTTCGCTCTTGACAAAAAAAATTCAATACCAATAACTTGCTTACTAAACAGTTTTTTATTATAGTTTAAAATTACTGTAACCAAAAGAGGCAAATATGTTATACAAAAACTCATAAATAGAAGTTCACAAAAGTTGTTATAAAACTATTCGTCGATTTAAATAGTTAACTTTTTACTTCGCATGTTTATTTTACGTGGAAGAAGCATCGAAAGCCTAGTTCCGTCAGTGTGAGACTTTAACTCAAACTAAACCTCCTACCGTCATGTACCGTTACCCTCCCGGTACCACCATCCATGTCCATGTCGTTGTAAAGCTCATACAGCTCATCGTTCCATCGTCTGCGATACTCGCCGTCGCCAACGCGAAAAGGCCCGTAAATCTTCCGCAAAATCTTTCTCTCGAATACGCCAGGAGCCTTCTCATCGGATGTTAGCATTGTCCATGCTTCTGCGCCGTATACCAGCACGGCCATGATGAGTGACTTATAAAGTGTGGTTTTCTTACGTCGAGAGAGGACATTACTCCTGAATTGCCTACTCAGCACAAAGAAGTACTTGTTGGCAAAAGTAATTCTGCGTTGGATTTCCATGCTGACATTATTATCGGTGTTAATTCTGGTTCCCAAGTAAACGAAATTCTCTGCTTTCTCGAAATTATAACTGTCAACAGTAACATGTGTGCCAAGGCGAGAATGTGCTGATTGTTTACCACCAGGCCCAATCGCTTTGCTTCCTTGTCCAACTTGGAAAAGACAGAACAGACTTCGCGGTTTTTCTTACCGATGATGTCAGTGTCATCGGCATAAGCCAGCAATTGAACGCTCTTATAGTAAATTGTTCCTGAGCGGTTCAGTTCTGCAGCTCTTATTATCTTCTCCAACATCAGATTAAAGAAGTCACATTAAAGGAAGTCGCCCTGTCTGAAACCCCGTTTGGTGGCGAACGGCTTTGAGAGGTTTTTCCCAGAGCTGGGGGTATTGCTCATCGTCATTTTACACAGCCGTATGCGTTTTGAGGGAATGCCAAATTGAGACATAGCGCCGTATAGGCAACTCCTTTTAGTGCTGTCGAAAGCGGCTTTAAAGTCGGCAAATAGGTGGTGAGTGTCGATCCTTTTCTCTATCTATGGTGGATTTGCCAGGTCTAAAGCCACACTGATAAGGCCCAATCAGTTCATTGACGGCGGTATTCAGTCTTTCACACAATACATTGGTTAAGACCTTGTAACCTATGGTTAGGAGGATAATCCTGTAACAAGATGTAAACATGTTGTAACGATCGCACATACAAGCTGATCTATGGCAACCCTAAGTATAAGATCTATTTGTGGAATTTTCAGAAAAGCAAAAGCAGCAACACGTGGAACTCGTTACATGGTGTCGGGTGAAAAATATTTAAATAAAGTTATTAAAGCCATGGAAACGAAGCATAGCGCCGCAATAATTTCTGGCCCTGAGCCGATGAATTTTGACGATCCTGGAATACACTGGTCGACCTGGAAACAACGTTTCAACATGTTTTTGTTGGCGTCCGGAAAAGACGTAGAAACTGATAATGTAAAAATAGCTCTTCTGCTGCACTATATAGGTGATAAAGGATTGGACATTTACAACTCTTTTGATCTTCAAAAGCCGGCGAAATATGATGACGTGGTAAAAAAGTTCGAGGAGTTTTGTAACCCCAAGAAAAATGTTATAATGGAAACTTTCAAGTTTCATAGCATTTCGCAACAGCCATGTCAGCCATTTTGTGAATTCGAAACTGAGCTTCGAAAGCAAGTTAAATTTTGTGAGTTTACTTTATCAAGTAATTGCAAGAAGTTTGAGGAACGCGTAATTCGTGACAGAATAATTTTGGGTATTCGTGGCAAGATCCTGCAAGCCAAATTACTGGAAATTAAGGAGAATGATTTGAATGCGGTCATTGAAAAATGTAAAATTGAGGAGTTGGCTGAAAAAAATAAATCTACACTAGAATGTAAGGAAGCAAAAATCGATGCGCTCTACAAACAAAAATGGGAAAAACGAACAAAAATGCTACAGATGTGGAGGTTTGTGGAGCTTAAATCATAAACCGGTATGTGCAGCATTGAAAGCTGGCCGCAAATGAATGAATTGTAAACAGCCCGGTCATTTTTCATCAATGTGTCGAACCAAAACAGGTGATGGAAGAAGTCGCAAGGTAGACGCACTCACAACAGTGGAAGATACAATAGAATTACAATTTAATAAAGAATACTATGAAGAAGGTAAAATTAGTCAAAACAACCTTAAGTTAATAGATAATAGAAGTAATTTTGATTATAGCATAAAGTATGTGGGTGGTGGCTGGTATAAGGAAGTAGTGGTCAATGGACCATTAAATTGGATTAACTGCATTGAGCAGATGAAAATTAAAAGCAATATTGTTAAATCAGATAATCGATGATATGCCTACAGTAATGAAGAAATAAAATCATTCGGCCAATTAAATTGGAGTGCATTGTTAATAAATTAAAAAAGACAGAATTAAACTTTGAAATTGTGAGCAATCAATTCCAACCAATTTTGGGAAGACATGCCTGCGTGGCTCTAAACTTAATAAAAAAAATTGATAGTGCTAGCAAAAATGTTGTTAGTTTACCAATTGAGAAAGAGCTTTTTATTCAGGAAAATATTGATGTTTTTGAAGGTCTGGGTCAAATACCAGGGAAATGTGTTATTGAACTAAAGAAAATTCCACACCAAAATTGAACTATAAAAAAAGAATACCATTTGGCTTGCATGCGAGGTTGAAAAATCAATTAAGGTGTTCTTACACGATATGTATTTGCATCTGTAAATGTGATTTTTCCAATACATATGTAATTGCGTATGTATGTCAAATTCACAGTCTTTATTTAACTATTTAAAACTACGCTCTTTGAAACCGAAATAAACTAAACTGAGATGATTCTATCTGTGTGTCAGATGAAAATAGAAACATTTCTATTTCGTATGTACGTGCATCTGCTTTGTACAGAAACAAATATAATTTGCCTTTACACGATATGTTGGCACTTCCATATGTAAAAAGTGGCATGTACACATGCAAATACATATCGTGTAAGAACACCTTTAGAGGTAATGGTGATAGATGGTGTGATTACAAAAGTTTGAGAATATGCCTTGATACCAAGCCTTTCA